TCCGTACATCCGGTTTTGCCTTCGAGCACCGGAAGCAGGTATCTTCGCTGAAACCCAATAGACGTAGATGACGGTGAACTATCTTGACTGCAAGTGTGTAAATGTAACACACTCGACCCCACTGCTGTTATTAAAGGATCTAGTGAAACTAGGGTTATAAGTAAATTAAATTTAGTCATATAAAGCAGTTTATACTTCAGTTTGGTGATCAAATAAACGTTGTTTCAATAATTGTTTTCTGTTAAAGTCTTCATGGTGAATCCATTCCAGTATAAGATTTTCTCCAGGTTTTATTAATGACATAGCCGCCATTACGGTGTCATACGTAATATCCGCCTAAAAATCTTATCTTATTAGGCTGTGTTCGATTTCAGCAGCTGCATCCTTTTTGAACTAAACTTACAACATTCACCACTGAACTTCGCTTTTTCCCGTTTTCTTCTAAGCACAGAGCAGCTGGCCGGCTTGCTTGGACTCTTATTGAATCATGGGATATCATAGGCCACGAAGGATACACCGGACCCGACCTTCCAAACGGATGAAAAGAAGGCTGCAAACAAAGTAGTCTTTGAATTCGGACACAACACGGCGCAGCGCTATGATGTAATCGGCCGAAGAATCTGGCCTTCTCCTTATTCGAACACGGCCTAAATCCGTTTTGACTGTCGAGCTCCACTTGATGTCGCCAGTTTTCTGACAATCTAGAAGTCTCTGGAAAATTCGTTGAAAACAAGCGTAAAGCTACAGTTAAAGAGAACAAAACATGAAATATGTAGGTTAGAACCATACCCAGTGCTCTCAAATATGACATTTATGTTTATACAACAATAAGAAATGTATCTAGCACCAAATAGCAGCTAGATCTGTGCTCTTTATTCTCATTATAACTTGCAAACACCAACAAAAATGCTTACATTTAAAAAACAAGTGAGCTGTTTTTAATAATGATTTTGAAAGAGACAGTTCTATCTTATTGTACCTTCCACAAAGTCATAATGATGACAAATAGGGTGGCTATCATTACAAGTTCTGTATTATTGTCAAAAAATACATAAGCTACTTTAAATCATATTTAGTTTTTTCTGTCCAGGTCCTAATACAAGGGACAGTTTGTGGACGTAGTCTTACAAAACATGAATGTTTTAGTGTAGCGCTGGGAAACAGCACTTTAATGTCAACTTTAAGATTCATGATATATATAACTCGCTTAATCACAAGTGGGGTCATGAGGGGTGCTGGTGCCTATGTCCAGCTGTCAATAGGCGGGGTACACCCTGCACAGGTCGCCAGTCTATCGCAGGGCAACACAGAGACAAACAGGACAAACAACCATTCACACACTCACACCTAAGGAGAATTAAAGGAAGCCAATTAACCTAACAGTCATGTTTTTGGACTGTGGGATCAAGCCAGAGTACCCGGAGAGAAACCATGCATACTCAACATGCAAAGTCCTTGCAAAAAGACCCTGGGCCAGAAATCGAACCCAATTACTTCTTGCTGCAAGGAAGCAAAGCTACCCACTGGACCACTGAGCAGCTTTCCAGGAGCTCATATTCAAGGGGACACAAACAAACACACAAATCTTTTGTGACTTTTTATATGCAGAGAAAAATCCTGTTTATTTATATTTTAACACATGCTAGACTTCCTTGAGTTGTCTAACATAAAATCCCATTTAAATAATTAGACATTAAAAGTGAGAGAATCATAAAAAAAATAAATAAATAAAAAGTTCAGTGAATGTAAATACTTTCACAAGCATTGCATTTCAAGGCAGCTTTATTGGAATATACCTAAAAATGCCCTAAAAGTGGTAAAACCCACATGTACATCAAAACTGCTAGTCTGTTTGTAAAGCAAAAAAGAAGAAAAATGCATAAAAGTTCAAGGAGCAATGATACTGTGTTGGTTTATTACATAAAAAAGGGGCGTTACCGTAGGTCATTCATCTCTGCCGCAACAGGACTCTATAATGTCACACTACAATGGCAATAGCTTGTGCAATGTATAATGTGCAATTTACTATTTGATACCCTGTGCAATGACCTGTTTCTGTACATCTGACACCCAGTGCTATAACTATATATATCAATATCCATCTATATGAATACCCATGTAAAATCGCTGTGCAATAACCCTGCAAAATTATCTTAACTATAAAAAAAAAAAGCTGTTATATGTGGATGCACTGTATATACTGTATATATACTGTGAGATCAATAAAGTCAATTAATAAAAGTCCAATTAAAGTATGTTAGAATTTGTCTCTGCCTCTTACTTAGAAAGCAGAGCTTGCCATAAAATTTCTCTTCAAATGGAAAATGTATCTCACTAATTTTGTGTTCTGACGTCTCTAAGGGCTTAACTCCCAAATGCCTTTTCTCTCGTTAATCCTCAAACTAATGTGTGATGCAAAAATAAAAGGAATCAGACAGACAGACAGGCATAGATAGATAGATAGATAGATAGATAGATAGATAGATAGATAGATAGATAGATAGATAGATAGATGATAGATAGATAGATAGATAGATAGATAGATAGATAGATAGATAGATAGATAGATAGATGATAGATAGATAGATAGATAGATAGATAAATAAATATTGGTCTGAAATGAGTTTTATGTCTTTACTCTTCCATTAATCTTCATACATTTTAATCTGTGTTGTTTAAACCTTTAAGCAGCTCAAAGCATTGGGTAGTACAATTGCATTTCTTCACAATCCTTGAAATTATTTAAACTGGTTACAAAACATTAAGCACATTTCTCCCTCTGACCTTGACCTCTGAAATCCCCTATGATCAGGTTTTTATGATGAGCTCCATCTATGATGTCTCTGATATTTAGACAATATCGCCCTGAAATGAATTTCAAACTTACTGGTCTCGTCTGAACTGGGATATTTGTGGATATCATCCTGTTAGCTACTCAGGTGAAATTTATAGGAATAGAGAACAGATCAACTTGTGTCCACTTTGTTCTCATTATATTTCATAATCAGACGAGGCTTTTTTTTTTACCAAGTGTTTCACGTGTATGAGGGATTTGCTTTCATGCACACATTTAAACACACAGCTGACATTAATCTTATTGAAGATATATAATTTGAACAAGAAAAATGCAAGTTGTTTACGAATGTTAGGATATGGGAAAAACTGGACATTTTGCAGAAATTAAACTTTTTGCAGATATATAAAATATACAACAATACACCTGTTCTGATCTCAGAAGTTAGAGAAAACTAGTAAACCATCTACATCATGAAGACAGTGAACTACAAAGACATGGGAGCATTTAAAGCTGAATGTGTTGGTGGGGGCCTTAAAGGGGCGTGTTTCTATTGTATCCCCCTGTCTATATTTGCTTTATTGAAACTGCATGCCGAGGAGGATAATGCTTGGCAGAACAGGATCAGTAGCTCTGTCTGTTGTTTTCGCCTAAATGCCTTGTTAAAACAGCCACAATAGACAAAATGTTGGCTGTAGTTGCAGGTGCACTTTTAATATGAGTAAGAACCAAGAAAGTTGAACTCACACAGGTTTAGGTATTAAACAAATTCAGTTTCCTAATGCCATCATCCAAGGGCTTAAAGAGTATGGCTTAATTATAACCCTAAAACAGAAAGACATGACTGTTCACCTAAATGACAAGCTAACGGTGGGTAAAAATCAGAGGAGCAGTCATTAGGGCCATAGTTAAAACAGGGGAGAGTTCTGATGGAAGGTTCTGTTGATAGGGTAACTATTGATTATGCAGGGAACTAATAAAGCCCTGCATAATATATGCTAATGTTTGTAAAAAGGTGCGCTACCGGAGGTCATTCATCCCTGCTGCCTCCAGACTCTACAATGCTACACAACGGCAATAACTTGTGCAATAACTAATGTGCAATTACTATTTGATACCCTGTGCAATAACCCGTTTCTCTATATTTTACACCCAGTGCAATAACTATATATTTAAATATCCATCTATATAAATACCCATGTAAACGATCTGTGCAATAACCCTCTATAATAATAATTAATAAAAAAAAAGAAAAGCTATGTCATGTAGAGGCACTGTATATATTGTATATAAATCCCATGCACCTTTTTTCTTTCTTTGACACATTCTTTTTCTCTCTTATTATTTGAGCTGATGGAACAAGTACATTTCTCCACTGTGAGATAAATAAAGTCAATCAATCAATCAATCAATCAATCAATCAATCAATCAATCAATCAATCAATCAATCAATCAATCAATCAATCAATCAATCAATCAATCAATCAATCAATCAATCAATCAATTAACCAATCAATCAATCAATCAATCAATCAATCAATCAATCAAAGATATATAGAGTGACAACTGATGAAAAAAGCCTTACCAAAGTTTATTTTTCAGTTTATGACCAGTTGTAAATGGGTAAAAGTAGTAACTTTGAAACTGCATCAGATAGATGATACAGATATGAGATCATGATGGTGTGTGTGTGGAATACATCCCATCTGTTGAAAAATGTGTTTTAGACTGGAGATTAGGAAGATTTTCTGCAAGGCAATAACATACAGCCAGCTCTGCAGTGTAATTATTGTGATCAAACTATATGCATGTTATGGATAAAACTGCCAATCCAGTCAAGCCTTAAATTTGAATTAAATACCATGTAGAAACTGATGGTTACATTATTCTTACTCCCTTCCAATATTTAATGATACATTCTCAAGAGAGCATTAAATGTGTTATTTAAGGGGTTAAAACACCCTCTATTCCGTTAAACCAAGAACATTTTGTTAAAGAATCCACAATATGCTCAAGGCGAAAAACCGAAAGGCTCAACATCTGAAAATGTAAATAAAGGCCATCTGCTTCTATACGTAATCACCGTTCTGCCTCCTCCTATCAGGACGTCTCTAATCACTCCTCCCGCCCCTTTCACCAAATCCCTCCGCTTTGATTGGTCAAATCCGTAGGCCGGCCCACGTCAACGTGCCTCTGTCCCCTCCTTCCGGGATGTTGTACTGCCCACAGGCTCGAGGACAAAAACAATCGGCATCCCTCTGACAGCGCAGTAAAAACAAGGAGATCCAGACCAATTTGGGGAAAACGGTTAGATATCTTTAAACCGTCTTTAACCGACACGACAGCGAAGAGGGAGAAATGGTGTCTCCGTCAACAGTAGTGAGTATCAACGTCTAAACCGGCATCTAAACAGTCACGTACGGACAAGAAAAGCAGTTTAGCTAGTTATATTCCACATTAAAATATCTCAGTTATAAATGATAAACAATCGAATGGCTGAGCTATATGCGTGTTTTGTTGGCATTTAACGCCTCCTACATTTCTTAAAAGCCAGCGCGTGCGTTCTGGTTGATTGTTTTTAACCGCCAGAACAACAAAAACATGGAGCGATTTATAATCCATCTAAATATCTTAATTTTTGCTATGTAGAGACATAGCAAAGTAACTTTTTTTCCTTCTGTTGACTCGTTTCCTTTTGCCTTAGGCACTGCAGCGGCTTGTTTGTTCATCTTTGCTCCAAACGTTTATGTAAAATGCCAATGCAAAAAAAAGAAAGAAAGCGTTAGATCATGTGACTGAGTGGAGCCTTTCTTTGCCTTATTTTCTTTCCTGTGTTCTTCATTAAACGCATGCGCCAAGGCTTTTCTCTCATCTCTTTTATTGAGCTCGGCTTTATGTGTTCTCCAGTGCCGAATAGCTTCATTTAGAGAAAAAACAAGGAGCTGTCATTCTCCTGAAATCAGCCTCCTCTTTGTGAGGGGATGTGGGGGGGACTTTGGATGATGGTGCGGGGTGTGTTGGCCTGAGGTGAACCCTGATGTGGTGCCTGTAGAGGAGCCTGTGTAGAGGAATGTCTGCAAACCAGACCAGTTCCCTAAGTGATAAGGATGCTGTGAAGGTCTGGAGTTTCCCTTTAGAGCAATTTTAATGGCATCTGCTTCCCCTGAACAATGAACTGCAGTTCTTCCAGCATGACATTACATTAGAGGGGAAACAGGCAGTGGTGTCAAAAGTACACACATTTGTTACTTAAGTAGAATTATAGATACTGCCGTTTAAAAACACTCTGGTAAAAGTTGAAATATCAAATTGACCTGTTTACTCAAGTAAAAGTGAAAAAGTATGTGCTCCAAAACCTACTGAAAGTATAAAAGTATAAAGTAACCTTTAAAAAAAAGCTAAATTTTTCGACTTTTTCGAAAAATTATTTGAGATAGGGCCAAGGATGCGGGGGGTCTTGTTGGTCTCCATCTACCGATACGCTCTCGCCTGTGTCCGACCTTTTGGACTTTTCAACATCTTTTTCTGAATCCAACATTGTAGCATGGCATAGACAATTCACGTTTGCAGTTTGAAGAACACCTGCTTGCTTCTGATGATTTCCTTTAGCTAACCAATGAGTGTTTGCGTTATGTGACTCATCTAATTACACGAGTTTTCACTAGATGTGGATGGAGCCAATGATTTGCATTGGATGGCGCACATGACGTGAAATAAGTATTTATAAACATTAAACCAACACAAGAGTAATGAGTAACGTTTGTTTTAAAAATGTAAGGAATAGAAAGTACAGATACTTGTGTGAAAATGTAATGAGTAGAAGTCAGAAGTAGGAAGAAAAATAAGTAATGGAGTAAAGTATAGATACCTAAAAAGTGTACTTAAGTACAGTAACGAAGTATTTGTACTTCGTTACCTGACACCTGGAAACAGGCTGTAATTTCAGAATAGAATGAAAATTTATTGTCATTACATTGTCAAGTAAAAAACAACTAAATTCCCCCTCTGCATTTTAACCCATCCCCTTGGGGAGCAGTGGGCTGCCATTGTGTGGCCCCCGGGGAGCAGTGTGGGGTTAAGGGTCTCACTCAGGAACCCAGAGAGCAGGCTGTGGGGTACTTTCAACCTTCTCAGAGCACTGCTCTAACCACTAGACAGACACTCCTCCCAATATAACCACTAACACACTTTCTAGTAGATATTTTACATTACTGACTTATTAACTTCTGTCATTTGGAGTTAATCCTTTCAGACTGTAGATTATTCTAGATCACTGCATTTTAAATATGTATTATAATAATTTAGAATATAACAAGTGAAAACTTCTTGAACTTGGTTTATATAATTGTTTTTTCAATGATAAAGTAACTAGGGCAGAGACAATTAATCGAATTAATAGTGTTTTCGATTTTTGATTCGATTTTTGAAATAATGTACAACTAATTTAGTTATCAATGAATCATTAACTGGAGTATGGAGACTCTATATGCCCTTAGCTGAGCGATCAAAACCGTAAAAAAAAAGTATACATAACATTTGACAATTATGATAAAGAATACTTTTTTGTCGGTTAATATGCTATATCCAGAATTCCTCAAGTGGTAAATTCTTTTGTTTTAACAGGTTTAATTTTGTCAGAAGTCTTATTTAAGGAATATTTGGCTATCTGATTATTAATCGATTAATCGAAAAAACTATTGACAGATATGCAAAATAATCATTAATGGTAGCCCTCAAAGTGACATAAAAAGTTAATAATTTTGAAGTGGAAGGATAATGATCCATGTTTTCTCTGGTCTTTATCTTTAGCACATTTTGCCAAGTTATGCCTCTCACCTCTGCCTGTGTTATCAGCTTCGGACATCTGGGAATCTGGCAGAAAGTGCTCAAGGGTGCTTCTGAAAAAAACATCTTCAAGTCTTATAACAAATTCTCAATTAAATAAATCTTGGGTACTTCAAATATATTATACTAACACAATAAGCTATGATGTTTACCATCCAATTGGAGCTCTTGCTGTATGTTTAGAGTCATTGTACTGCAAAGGTGAAGTCTGAGATCTTACAAAGTTTTCCTCCAGGGTTGCCCTGTATTTGGCTCTTTGATCTGCCATTTAACTGGTACCCCTACAAATGGCATTGTGTATATTGTCAAAAAAGTTAAAATTTTGTCTCATCTGACCTGACGAGATAAATAAATATGATTGCCGTCTCCTACATGAGCTCATAAAATTATATTTAGCTATTTTTTTCCATAAAAGCCCTGATGTGAAGAGTGAATAACATGTTCTCCGGAGCTGTGGATATCTGCAGCTCATCCAGAGCTACCATGAGCCCCCATCACCTTTCCCTTTAAGCTCTCCTTACCTGGCATTAGTTGACAACCATGTGTTTGTGCGTTTATTGTGTTCCTATGCCTTCTTGATGATTTTTGTTTACTAACAGCATCATTAACATTTCACTTATATGTATTAAACAACCAGGAGACATGACAACTGACTTTGATAGAAATTGTAATCTTACTCAGATAAGAGAAATTGCTTAGGGTTAAAGAATGGCAGCTGCTGACCTCCGGGCTCATCGCTCAGGAAGTGGCCCCGATTAACAGTTAAAAAGGCATTTTATACGTCTCCAGTCTGCGACATCATCACAATGTTAGCATATGATTAGACATTCATGGCTCCAGCCTTATCAAAATATTACATTTTGTTCTTAGCTGAAGGACATCGCTCTCATTCCATTTCCAAATCTTTGCCACTTACAAAATGAAGATTATAACTGTATATCCAGACGGAGGAATTGTCCTAATTAGATTAAAAAGGCAGTTCTGACGCGCAACAGGCAGCCTATATCAGGGTGTGATAAAGTCACACATGTTCAATGATAATTATCCTAACACTCTTTTTAAAGAAAACTCTGTAACAGAAGAGCAAGATTTATAAACATATAAAATTAACTATTAGTTGTTAGAAATTTATTTAGTGGTGGTAGAGTAAATAACTCTATACCAACCTCTAGATACCAATAGATCTATGTGTCCTCTTTCTTTCAGTATACTAGTATGGTTTGCTTTTTTAGTCTATAAAACATAATCCCCCAAGAGTACAGTTTGAACAGTATAGTTTTAACTTTACAAATTGTGAAAAAAGTTCAAGGAGGAATCAAGACTTTGGCAAAGGTCTTTATCTTTTAAAGGAAACATATAAAGAAAAAAAAATGACCACATCAATGTGTTGATTACCTCATAAAGGCTATAATCTCTCTCATTTGGGTGCAAAAGACGCTTCTATATGTTTGTGCTTGTTTGTGTTTTTGACTCTAAACTGGGTTTTGATAAACGCTGCTTTGCTCTGCACCATCTGCCGAACCAACTGTTGTGTGCTCATAAGCGAGCTCATGGAGTTTTTGTCCTTGATTACATAAAATCAAACACAGTTTTATCAAATATAATTACAACTCTTTCCCCAAAAATGTTTGCTAAGACTATTATTATCAATGTTATCTGATTAGCTGATTCTCTTGGTCTCTGTTAAAAGAAAATAATAACATGGTGTAACATTGAAAAAGTCTTTATGGAAATTTAGATTAAATAGTAGGAAGTGTTTTTCTGTGGTAGCATTGTCATGCGAATGAAAAGGCCAGCTGTGGCTCCTAGGGCCTTTCTTGTATTACAGTTACCCTCTTCTAGGTTGAGCATACAAGTGTCTTTAAATATTTCTGTGTATCACGTTACACACCCACAGCAGATGAGCTGCTTTCATCCTGAGCGGATCTTATTTGGTGCTTCAGGGCAGTTAGTTTGAGTTGGTCTCTCTAATAGATACTTGTTTCTTCCAGGACTGTAGCTCAAGGCTAAAACCTGCCTTATAGAAGGTATTCATTAACGTAATATGTTGGAGCCTATTAAGAATTAGATTCATTTATCTTTTGCAAAATTATTAATGTTAAAGAGCTAAGGTTATGTGAATGGTAGAGTTATTGTTTATTTGTTTATGTATTTGTTTTGCTTTGACCCTCCTCCTTGTCAGTCCGCCTCCTGCTGAGATTAACAAGTAGAAGCAGCTGATGAGGTGGAGCTGATTGTTTGTTTGAAGGAGTGAGGAGTGCAACAGTTTTTTCACACACATCACTTAACTTTATATTTGAATTTTTGTAAGTCAACTCTGAGAATATTTCTGTTATTTTTTATTAGTAAAGAAAACACCCTTATTTTGAAACAAGAAAATTCTCCACGAGTGCTTTTTGTTTTGTGAGTCGAAAAACCTCCTCCTAAGACTACTCTGGCAATTTTTGATTTTTTTGGAAACTTTTTTGATGCAAGAGTAGCCGCAACAAGTGAAAAAACTTCACCGATGACTTGAAGAAGAGCCTAAAGTCGGG